GCGGGGAGGAGACCCAGTTGGCAGAGGGAAGGCTTAGGCGGCGAGGGGAGGGCGAGCCGACAGACCCCGCCCTGTGGGCCGGACGAGGGAGGAGCCGGGGTTGCGGCGAGCGGAGGGGCGGGCTGGGCGACGCGCGGGAAGCAGCTCGACCGTTGCCAGCGGCACCGGAGGCAGCGCAGGTGACCGCACTCCAAGAAGGCCGATTGGCCGCGTCTCTACCGAGAGGCGTGGTCCCGGCCGGAAGTCAGGCCACGTGACCCGGAAGCGGCTTTTGCCAAGGCCTGTGCGCCTGCGCGCTCCTGCGCGTACCTTCGGAACTCGGGCGGGCGGCTACCTCACCTACCCAGTGGTGGGAGCGCAGGGTTCCGAGGTGCCCTTTGTCGACCCCGCTGTGCGGGGCAGGGAAGGTCAGGATCGCCAAGAGCCAAGTTCGAGCTCCGATAACTCTCCGTGCCCGAAGAGGGCGGGGCGGGGAGGCGTCACTGCCGGTGGTGATGGTGAGGAGAGTGAGGGAGTGCTGCACCTCTGGGGAAAACAAGTCAGCTCTGTCGAGGAGCTCGTGCACGCGTTGAGGGCCTTTTGCAATCATTCTGCCTCCAAACTGCCTGGAATCCGGCACGTCCTTCCCATTGCACTGCTACAGCCCTAGACACCTTTTGCCCCAAGCCGTGCGAGTGTCTTTTCCCTGGGCTTGTCTCGCCAGTCCTCAGTGCTGCGGACCTGATGAATTACTGTCCGTTCTCTGCCGAAAAGCCCCGACCGCATCTCGTCTTTGAGATCCCACTTCCTTCACACGGACTCGCGCCCCCCGCCCCCAAAGCCGCCTGTGTTCCAGTTAAGCCTTGCCGAAGACTTGCTCTGCCTGGCATGCACTTCCTCTCAAATGTTACATCTATGAAGCCTCACCCTCAAACCCTGTAAGAACGAATCCCTCTTTCACCCACACGTTCATTAGCCTCTGTTTAGCACATCTTGAGTTTTACTCATTTTGCATCCCCACGTATCCATTTGCCTCTATTCAGCACGTTTTGAATTTTATTCATTTTGCGTCCCAACCTAGTTCACTGCCTGATAGATAACACATCTAATAAATGGGAGTTGACCAATGAGGACTATAAAATGATAGATTTGTTAAGAACCAAAGTGCTGAGTTTTGTGCCTGGCACATAATGTATGTCCATATTTTTTTGAATGAGAAGAATGGATGAATCATCTAGTCCGACTCATCTTTTACAGATGAGGAAAGGGGAGCCCCACGGGATTAAGTGACCTTGCTTGAACAGCCACGGGTTTCTCATGTTGAATGCTATTCATTACCCCAGTCACCTAGGTTCTTACAAAGGAAGCTAGAAAATTGCTTTTGTTGAGCTATGCCCTTTTTGCAGAGGTTCCCAAACACAGTCGCCAGAATTTTTTAATGGCCCAAAGTGAAAAAGAAATGCTATGTTTTCCATGAAGCTAAATTTAATCAATTTAAAGGAATCCTTTATTAGGGATTGTGTTCTTTTTTGTGTGGTAAAAGGTCTATAAAACTATGATAGTATGTAGTAGGGATTTGAGGGCATTTTTAATGCCCTTTTTTGACAAAATGAAAATGTATAATACCTTCCCTTTTGAGCACAACTATACTGCTAGGAAAATTTCCTACAAATATATATGATAATGTATGCTGGGATATTAAACAAGTCGTCGACAGAAGGCACAGAGATGGCTTTCTGTGGTCTTTAGGCCCCCTGCCCAAATTTCTCTCTGCTCCTGAGTAGTCATTCTCCAAAGTCACATGTTAATGCCCCATTTCTCCCTTACTACACAAAACAGATGCCATTAGTCAGTTCAAAGATAGATCTAATACTATGCAATGAAAACTTGTCCTCTGGATCCAAATGCTGTTTTTCTCTTTTTCTGTACAAACGAGGTTCCTAAGATAACCACCTTTAAGTTTAAAGTCATTGGTTATGTTCCTAATGTAGGTCTGTGGTTCTGAAAATGAAGACGGGAGACTTGCTGATGACATATTGGCAGTCTCTGGTGCTCCTAGCCAAGAAAAGGTGGGGGTGGGAGGGTAGTGGGGGAAAGGAATTATGGGAAAAATAATTAGCAGCTGAAAGCAGCTATTACATAATCTTGGCTGCTTATTAATTTAGGAGAAGGAATAGCTTATTAAATTCTAATAGCAACAGCACAACTGCAAACAACCTAGCAATTAACAATGCAGCGCCCATTAGTTTGTTAATATGTCCTCTTTTTTTGGCAAGTGTATAAGAACAAAATTTATAGAAGCACATGGTCTTTTTCAGTAGATTATAGATGGTTTTTCCCCAGCCTTAGTATTAAGTGCTAATTGTGCATTCACTGTGGAAGACAAAAGAAGCACTGTTACTGTCTTTGTTAGTAATTAACTGCTTGACTTTGATTCCCACATGTTCCAAATTGTGGGCTTTCTTCTATACGGATTCTCACCTAGTGTCTTCTTCATCTGTCATGTTAATAGGGTATCTTTTTTAATCCTCTGCTTTTGTTATCTGGGTGGTCCTGATTTCTTGGTTGTTAAGGATGAAACAAAAATTACTTTTTATGAAAAAGTAAAAATCAGGTTTTATACCTTTTTTTCTTGGTACAGGAGACATTTATTACAAACTCATTTCTCATGGAACAAGAGCATGCACTTTCATGGTGCGAGGCTGTCTGATGCTTCCCAGGTTTCAGTGGCCCAGGCAGATAAAGGAAAATTGAACAAGGTCAGAAGAGAGAAGAACAGATCTGTCCTTAAGTAGGAAAGATAACCGTGTTGCCAGTATACAGAAGGGGAACAAATGAAGTATTTCTGGTAAACTGCCTTTTATTTATTTTTTATTGAAATATAATTGACATACAGCATTATATTAGCTTCAGGGATACAATGTAATGATTTGATATTTATGTAGATTTGTGAAATGATCACCACAATCTAGTTAGCATCACTTGTTTCTTAAAAAAGAAAAAAAAGTGCCTAGCTTTCATTTATGCTTAATGCATGAGGTGAGGGTGAAGTAGGGATTTTGTTTTCTAACAAGAAAATTTTGAGGTTTTTAATGTAATCTTTTAAAAGTTATCAAAAATAACTTTAGTTTCCTGTTAAATGTGTGATGGCTATGTGCTTTTATCTCTCCTTCTCAAAATGCCCTTAAATGAAAAAAAAAAAAAAAAGGAATGTTTGAAGTATATAACCCACATGGACAATAAGAGAGGGAACATTAGTGTGAGGATGTCAACAAGGATGTCTGGGTACACTGTTGGCTCATCGTGAAACATTGATGATTTAGGTAAAAATTGTAATATATTGAGAATGCGGAGGATCACAAGTGAGGGGATTTGAAATAATGGTAAACCCTCATGCAGTAGCCATAAGAAAATAGATAACATCTAACATAAATGAAAAAATAGGATTATTAGTGTAGTCTCTTCAAAAATATATTTATTTATTGGGGCGCCTGGGTGGCTCAGTCGGTTAAGGGTCTGACTTCGGCTCTGGTCATGATCTCGCAGTTCGTGAGTTCAAGCCCCGCGTCGGGCTCTGTGCTGACAGCTCGGAGCCTGGAGCCTGCTTCTGATTCTGTCTCCCTCTTTCTCTGCCCCTCCCCTGCTCATGCTCACTCGCTCTCTCTCTCTCTGTCAAAAATAAACATTAAAAAAATTGTAAATGTTTATTTATTTTGAGAGAGAAAGAGAGCTTGTGCAAGAGAGGGACAGAAAGCGGGGGAGACAGAGAATGCCAAGCAGGCTCTGTGCTGCTAGTGCGAAGCCTAACCTGGGGCTCAAAGCCACGGACCGTGAGATCATGACCTGAGCTAAAATCAGGAGTTGAATGAAATCAAGGTGCTTATTCTTGATTAGCACCGACTGAGGCACCCAGGGGCCCCAATTAGTGTATTCTTGAGACACCAGGAAGCAAATTGCAGAGGCAATGATGACTTTCTTTCCAGAGACAGAATCTTGAGGTAGGAGGTATTAAAAGTTATTATTACATTATATTTTAGTACAGGTTTTACTTAGATCACTTTTTACAATATTGTAATGAAATAGATAAAACCTCTTCTGTTAGTGCTAACACTATTTTATAGACTTGTACAACTGATTCCTTTAGCCAGTCTATGTTATTTAGAAATGATTAAATAAAAATGCCTTGTAATTCAATTCAGTGCTGAATCAGTGTAGAAGATCACAATAAGTATAAAAAAGATGCTTAGAGTTTGTGAATTTGCATCTCCAAAGATAAACTTGTTCCAAGGAGAAAACTGGCCTAAAATAATGAGGATTTGTAAACCAATCATTTCAAATAGATAGAGATGTCACTGCCAAAGTCCTCAACAATGAGCTAAAGAGAAATAATGGGACATCTACTTTTTCTTGAAACCTGTTTCCAGAGCTTTGAATAAAATGCAAGAAAATGATTCTTCTTTTACTCTTAGGCTAGAGCAGTGATTCTCAACCTGGGCAATTTTATCCCCCCTCCCCTAGAGGACACACAGCAGTGTCTGGAGATACTTTCGGTTGTCACATTGGTGCCCAGGTATGGGGCAGGTGGGGGATGGGGGTGCTGCTGCTGCAACGCACAGGCCAGTCCCCTACAGAGAATGATCCAGCCTGAAATGTCAACAGTGCTGAGACTGAGGCCCCAAGTTAGTCACAGAAAAGGTTAGCATGTAGTAACGGAGCTCTTTTGTGGACATTTCAAGAAACGGGACACGTACTGTCTTTATACAAGGTTTTCTCTCTCTCTTAGAGAAGTTGGAGGCATTCTTAATATTTGATGATAGGTACAATTCTTAACTGCTGGAAAGACTGGCCACATACATAAGGCAGTCAGTAACTAGAATAAACTATTGAAATCGGATGTTTTTTCAAAGGGGCCCCGGAATATGAGTGGAGATTATTTAGAACCTGAATCTATGGGATGACTATTCATTCCATGCGTTCATTCATTTAACATAAGTGTTTATTACATATCTACTGTATGCCAGCCACTCTGAAAGATAATGGAGTTGCAAAGATGGATAAGATGTTGACTGTGTCCTAAAGCTCCAAAACCATTTCTCCTGACACAGAATTTCCTGTCTTTTGGAGACAAATTCTGGGTAGTCAGAGGAGCAGTCACCAACCAAACATAAGAATACATTCTCTTTTGGGGAAGCCCCTAGACATGCTTCATAGAAACTTCGATTTCCATGGGTGCCACCTTTGGAAACTATTTGTCCTAATGACCTACCAAGGCTCTCTTTGTGATCTTTTCATTCTGTGAGTTTTCTACAGCACTCTTAATTGACAGCAACATAAGAAAGTTGGTATGTTTTCAACAAAATGATTTCAAATAATATTCTTTTGACCTGGTCCTTGGAATGAACTGTTTCAGCCATAATCTAACTAAACTAGACTAGTTATTAAGCTAACTAAACTAGACTAGAGAATACTAGGTTATTCTGTATAGGACTTGTGAAAACATACAGATTTTTGGGTCCCATCCCCAGAGTTTCTGATTCACTGGGTCTGAGGTGAGGCCTGAGAATTGTATTTCTAACAAGTTTTCAGTTGCTGCTGATGCCAGCGATTCGGGGATCACACTTTGAGAACCACTGCTCTACACCAGAAATAAAACACAACAGCCAAAAAACCCCCAAAAAACCACCCTGTGATACCTAACTGGCAAGTTCTCAAGCCAGCAATTGTGATAATTTTCCCAGACTGAATATCTGAAGAAACTTGAGATCTGAATTTAAAAAAAAAATTTTTTTTTAATGTTTATTTACTTTTGAGAGACAGAGAGAGACAGAGTGTGAGTGGAGGAGGGGCAGAGAGAGAGAGAAAGACACAGAATCTGAAGAGGCTCCAGGCTCTGAGCTGTCAGCACAGAATCCGATACGGGGCTCGAACTCACAAGCCGTGAGATCATGACCTGAGCCAAAGCTGGACGCTTAACCAACTGAGCCACCCAGGCGCCCCAAGATCTGAATATTTTTTTATTGCTGACTTCATTAAGTTTGATAACATTGGGAGGGTAATATTCCCAGTTACATGAATCTGAAGCTAACTCTATATGCACATACCAGAGTGGTATACGATCATTGTATGCCCTGTACAAACTAATGTACTATATTAGTCTAAGTTAGAAATTAGAGCACTTGGAGAAACTTGAATGTTGCACCATAAAAAATCAGATGCTTACTTAATGACTCTCACTACTCTAAAAATATTTTCCAACTACTCTCACCAAGTAGGAAGCCCCTCTGAAATATTTTGTCAACAATTACAGGCATGAGGTAGGAAAGAGAGTTGAGAGGGAATGACTAGACAGAATCAATATCTCTGGATATGGCAGAAACCCACTATACGAATCAGAATATGCCCCTTCTCTTCCTTGCCACACAGCTAGACCCCATTCCTCAGCCACCCCTGCAGTTAGGTATCCCATGGGGCTGAGACTGGGCTGATGAAATGGAGACGGAAGTGATATCAGGCAGGGCCCAGAAAAACCTTCCACAGGAAAGCCCCTTCTCCCTCCCTCCCTCCTCAGCCCTGCTTTTGTCCCCTGCGTGTTGACACCCAGGGTGACTTTGGAAGTTAGTCTTTTAAGATGGCTGAATCTCTGTCAGACACGCAGACCACCACCACCACCATCATACTTACCACCAGTTGTACTTTAAGTAAATCAGAAACAACTTTGTATGAAGCCACTGATTTTTCTGGGTTCATCTGCTACAGCTGCTAGCAGTACTGGCCATTCTTGCGAACTGTTACGCTGTTACTCGGTTGCAAAGAGAAAGAAACACAGTGACTGGGAGAGCAGGTGAATTTGCCAGTGGATCTGCTCTTTTTCTTAATTCTGAACCTGCTTTTTGTGCTTCTTCATGTATCTCCTTTTCATTGAAATTTAAAGAATTTAAAACTACTCATTTATCAAAGGGGCAAAAAGACTGATTGGAGGATTTTTATTTTTTTTATTTTCTCTGGCAGAGCCTAGCATTTGTGCCAGGCGATAGATAAGGCAAAATTAAAAAAAAAAAAATCATAGGAACTGAAAGAGCCAAGGAGTTGGGGGTTGGGGGCACATTCCAGTAAACTGTCCCTAATTGTCCAAAGTAGATAATTTTATCATCAGTCTCTTAGAATCAAGAAACTAAAGTTTATAGTTTGTTTGTGACCAGATTATGTCTTTGTCTTGTAAATATTCTAGGACACAGTTAAAACATTTATCCAAAAGCACTATTTAGAGTACATGAACATTTTAATTGAATGATTTGAAAATTTTTTAGAAATGCTGCATGTATATAAAATATAACACATATATGAAATAATAGAATTTTAAAGGTCATTTCACTCAAGAACTGCATTTTACAAATAAGGAAATTAAGGCCCAGAGAAGTTAAACAAAGGGTTCAAGATCATCCTACCTGGTTAGGGACAGATGAGGAGCTAAGACCCTATGTTTTGTCTCCAGGCCAGGTTTTTTCCACAACAGTATACAGTTGCCCAAAAATCACTAGCCCTTATCTGTAGGCAAAAACAAACAAACAAATAAACTGAAAAACTACACATACACAGCCCCTCAAAATGTAAACTCTTCAGTGCCTCCTCCTGTGATCTCTCTGACTCCTATTAAAGTATTTGTGTCTCAGGGCACCTAAGTGGCTCAGTTGGTTAAGCATCTGACTTCGGCTCAGGTCATGATCTCACAGTTTGTGAGCTCAAGCACCACGCCGGCCTCTGTGCTGACAACTTGGAGCCTGGAGCCTGCTTCAGATTCTGTGTCTCCCCCTTCTCTGTCCCCCCCCCCCCCACTCATGCTCTGTCTTG